TGTGACATTCATTTACTCAATGGTGTATCTTGGTTCCATTCACTAAATCGAATGCTCAGATGAAGAATATTTAAACCCATCTGTTAATTGTGATTCTCTATTTCAGACACTTATAGTACATTATATATTTTGCATAAATTACTCTGTACTATGCAAGAGGCCTGTAACATTGAGACTTGTTAATTGTGCAAAGAAGTTTAAGCATTCAATATGTTCAGTGGCATCAAACAAAAACTGCAACAAGAATGTGAAGATAAGTACAAGCTCTCATAGTATATGCAAATATTTTCAAGACTAGCTAGAAAATCAAACATATATATGTGAATTTCTGCAGAAAGGCCAGGTCAACTTGAAACAACAATGATATGCTGGCAGATGTATGTGGAATGCAGTGCTTGAAGGAAGCTCCTAGAAGAAATTATTACAGAATGAATAAGATTGAGAAAAAGCTTTGAGAGACAAAGAAAAATGACATTTGCAGAAAAACTTGAGAGACCTCTTGTGTGTATAGGAAGCACGTGATATATGTTGTAATCAGAAAACACCTATACAAGGTAGACTTCAATAATCTGATCACAAGACTTGAATGTCATCCCCACAAACAGGAAACTGCTTAAACAGTTTTCACCCTGATCTGCAACAATGCAGAAAAACAGCATGCTTGTCCAGGAGTTCTCTCTGATTAATCAATCTCATGGCCTTCCATGAATTGTAGTCGTTTTGATCATTTGACATGCATTTTAGTTTTTGTTTCATAAATGGCGAAAATATCATCTTTCAGGAAAACACTAGCTGTATTTGGAGGACAAAAAATTCTGTTGATAATTGTAAGGAAATCTCAGCTTATAGATGTAGGCTTCTTGATCCTAGGATGTAGATTTAGAACACTGTGGAAATACAAGCTTACCTATTTGATACCAAGTCTGGTTTTGAGGTATGAACATTAAGGTAAATTCAAAGAAACAATGCTTCATGCATTTTTGGTTGTATCCTTAATAATAACAAAACTATGTCCCAATAGTACCACTTTTCATTAAGGTGACTTTTCAAAGACAGTGACATTTCTTTGTTGTGGTTGACCACACTCACACTGAGGGAGTATAAAAGTCTGGTTGTAAGAGGTGCTATTCATTCTCAGGAAATTCACCTTCAACCTCCCACCAAATCCTCAACTCCTGACACAATGAGCCACTACTACGGCAACCACTATGGTGGCTGTGGCTATGGCCATCGAGGATTCAGTGGTCACAGCCATGGCTGTGGTTCCAGTTGTGGCCACAGAGTCTATGGTGTCTGTGGCTGTGGCCATGGTCTGAGCCATTGCTGTGGTTCCAGATATGGTCACAGAGTCTATGGTGGCTTTGGCTGTGGCCATGGTGGATTCAGTGGTCTGAGCCATTGCTGTGGTTCCAGATATGGTCACAGAGTCTATGGTGTCTGTGGCTGTGGCCATGGTGGATTCAGTGGTCACAGCCATTGCTGTGGTTCCAGATATGGCCACAGAGTCTATGGTGGCTTTGGCCATGTCTGTCCCTCTTCTCATGGAAGATATTTCTTCTGTAATTTTCACTGAAAACATTGTCATCCGGGATCATCCATATTCTTGATATAGAACCCATCACCCAACTGAGCATTCTTATTCCTCTGTACTATGGACATAAAGATTTCTTCTTTTTCCTTTCTGTTATATTTCTAGTCATGTTAATTCAATAAACATTCTTTATGAACTTTCCTACCTGTGTCATTTCTATTGTTCTTCTAAATACACCTCTCACTGTGAATGTTTGCAATATTTGAGTGACAGGTGTCATTTAAATGTATGCCCTGGGTTGATATTATCTATTTCAATAGAACTTGGATTTCACACTAGTCTTAATGATACCTTTATTTCATGTAGTGTATACTTAGGTGTGTTTCCATTTATGATTTCACAGTCTGGACTAGAAATTAGAAATTTTTCTCTTAGGAAAAAATGGGCACTGATTATCATAATAATTTAACATTTCTTTCAAGCTCAGGATAACATAAAATAAAATTGTAAAACATGGCTGCATTTTAAGTATATTTAGCTGGGTTCCAAGATGGCAGAATAGGATGGAGTTTACTGATCTAGTCCAGGGAAGACAGTTTAATAAATGTTGAGGTAGTGAAGTCTCTGGGAAGAGTTAGGGAAAAAATGGCAAAGGAAACTTTTCCATAATTAGAGGGACATGGTGGACCTACGTGGAGGGCATGAGCACCTGTAGCTCACAACTCTTCAAGAGACAGCTTCTACAGCAGAGGTGGCATGTGAGGTGAGATGCAACCACAGTAGCCCAAGATACGGGCACAAAAATCCATTCAAAATGGATTAAAGATATAACTCTATGACAAGACACACTCAAATTATTAGAGGACATCAGAGAAACACTTCAAGATTTTCCTCTTGGAAAAGACCCCAGAGGCACAAGCAGTCAAAGACAAAATTAACAATTGGGATTACATCAAATTGAGAAGTTTCTGTACTGCAAAGGAAACAGTCAGAATGGTGAAGAGGCAATGGATATAATGGGAAAAATATTTGCAAATTATGCAACTGAAAAAGGATTAGCAGCCACAATCTATAAAGAGATCAAGAAAAATCTAGATGTACACTTTGAGTCAATGCTCTATACCTTTATTGCTACTTCAGATAAAGTATGGATATTATCTCTCAATTAAAACTTTTGAGTGATTTTATTACTTCTCCCTGAAAACTTCTCAACCATGTGACTTCTTATTGATTTGCAATGCATAATTTAGCATCTTTGCATATCTAGACTTTAAATTATATTTTACAGGAAGTAATTGTCAATGTAACACTAACTGAATTAGGTATGTTACAAGGGTCTTCAACACTCTCCAGTGATTCATGTCATATCTCTTGTCATGTGTTCTTGAACAAACTATATGTGCTGATTTTTTAGAGTTTGCCAAATGAATTATTTGAGTGATGTGTCTAATATGTAGACTAGAACATGGACATGTCAAATACTCAGTTGTGGAAAGAGCACTAATTTAAACCTGAGAAAGAACTTTAAGGAATGACTTCTGAATTTCAGGAAATAAATGATAATATTTTTAATTCCTGAAAACACATACAACTGGGCCGGTGCCGTGGCTCACTTGGTTAATCCTCCTCCTGCGGCACCAGCATCCCATATGGGTGCCAGGTTCTAGTCCCTGTTGCTCCTCTTCCAGTCCAGCTCTCTGCTGTGGCCCGAGAAGGCAGTGAAGGATGGCCCAAGTGCTTGGGCCTCTGCACCCTCATGGGAGACCAGGAGGAAGCACCTGGCTCCTGGCTTTGGATCGGCATAGTTTGGCTGTAGCAGCCTTTTGGCAGGTGAACCAACGGAAGAAAGACCTTTCTCTTTGTCTCTCTCTCTCACTGTCTATAACTCTATATCTAAAAAAAAAAAAAAAAACACATATAAACAATTGCTATTGAATTGATAACACGTGAAGATGAAAGGATGGTCATCATTTATGTTATACTACAGGACGTAAGTTTCTGTTCATTCAATATTTGCATAAAATAATTTTATGAAAAAATATATATGTAAATTTCTGGTAGGAGCTATAGAATTCAAAGAACAATGAATGATATATTAACTAGGAGTCTAAAGAAAACTTAGCAGAATTATTTAAATTTCATCTAATTAGTTATACAAATCAGGAGGTAAATATACATATTTTATGGGAGTAAACAAGGAAATACAAAAAAATCTACATATGTGTTCACATGCAACAAATACTGCACAAAAACTTATGCAATATGAAGAGACATACCCACATCCTTGAAAATTTGAAGTGGTAGGACATGCGTTTAAAGGCTGAGCAGGCAAATGATACTTACCATGTGTCATTCATTTAATCAAAGTTATTCTCAATTTCCTTTACTGAATCCAATATTCAAATGAAGACTATTTAAAGCCATTTGCTAATTGTGATTCTCTATTTCAGACATTTTAAGTACATTACCTTATTTTGAAGAAAATACTCTCTGTTATACAGGCAGCCCCTAACAATGAATTTGTTATTACTGGAAATAAGTTCAAGCATTCAATACGTTCAAAAGCATTCAGTATGTTCACAGATATCTTTCAGGAAAACCCTAGTTATATTTGGAGGACACAAATGATAATGTTGATAATAGTAAAGAAATTTCAAGTCATCAGCTGTAGCCATCCTGAATCATATGATGTAGATTTAGAAATCTGCAAAAATATAAGCTTTGAAGATGTGAAAATAACCATTACATACCAAGTCTGGTTCTGGGGTATGTACGTTAAATTAAATTCAAGGGAACTATGCTTTATGCATTTTTGGAAGTATCCTTAATAATAACAAAACTATGTCCCAATAGTACCACTTTTCATTAAGGTGACTTTTCAAAGACAGTGACATTTCTTTGTTGTGGTTGACCACACTCACACTGAGGGAGTATAAAAGTCTGGTTGTAAGAGGTGCTATTCATTCTCAGGAAATTCACCTTCAACCTCCCACCAAATCCTCAACTCCTGACACAATGTGCCACTACTACGGCAACCACTATGGTGGCTGTGGCTATGGCCATAGAGGATTCAGTGGTCACAGCCATGGCTGTGGTTCCAGTTGTGGCCACAGAGTCTATGGTGGTTTTGGCTGTGGCCATTGTGGATTCAGTGGTCTGAGCCATTGCTGTGGTTCCAGATACGGCCACAGAGTCTATGGTGTCTGTGGCTGTGGCCATGGTGGATTCAGTGGTCTGAGCCATAGCTGTGGTTCCAGATATGGCCACAGAGTCTATGGTGGCTTTGGCTGTGGCCATGGTGGATTCAGTGGTCTGAGCCATTGCTGTGGTTCCAGATATGGCCACTGAGTCTATGGTGGCTTGGCCATGTCTGTCCCCCTTCTCATGGAAGATATTTCTCCTCTTATTTTCACTGAAAACATTTTCTTCTGGGATAATCCATATGCTTTGTATAGAACCCATCACCCACCTTGGTCATCCTCATGCCTGCTGTACTGTTGATATAAAGATTTCTTCTTTCTCCTTTCTGTTATATTTGTAGTCATGTTAATTCAATAAACATTCTTTATGAGCATCTCAAACCTGTGTCTTTGTTATTGTCCAGCTAAATACACCTCCCATTGCAAATTTTTGACATATCTGAATAACAGTTTTCATATGAATGTGTGCTCCAGATGGTATTATCTGTTTCCTTAGAACTAATGTTTCACACTTGTAGTCAACAATGCTACTACTTCATGTAGAATATACTCAGGTGGGATTCCCTTTATGAGCTGACATTCTAGATTATAAATTTGACACCCCTCACTCTTGTGAATAAATGGGGAGTGATTATCTTAATTATTTAACTTTTCTTTGAACTCAGTATAAAAGGAAGTATAATTATAAAACATGGCTGCTTTTGGCTGGCGCTGTGGCTCAATAAGCTAATCCTCCGCCTGTGGTGCCAGCACACTGGGTTCTAGTCCCGGTCGGGGCGCCGGATTCTGTCCCAGTTGCCCCTCTTCCAGGCCAGCTCTCTGCTGTGGCCCGGGAGTGCAGTGGAGGATGGCCCAAGTGCTTGGTCCCTGCATTCCATGGGAGACCTGGCTCCTGCCATCAGATAGCGTGGTGTGCCGGCTGCAGTGTGCCAGCCGCAGTAGCCATTGGTGGGTGAACCAATCTCTCTTTCTCACTGTCCACTCAGCCAGTCAAAGAAAATAAATAAATTAAAAAAAATAAAAATTAAAAAAGGCTGCTTTTTAAGTATGATAAGCTTATGTGATTTGTATGGATGAACTCTCCAAGCTTTATTTGCTCACTCTTTCATCAAGAACACATTACCTGGTACATGTTTATTTCTTAAGGATACATATATACCTGTAGACTCCAGCCTCTGCTACCCTCCAGTATAGCTTCCCCATCTTCAATTTCTTTCTTTTATTTCTGTTTTTTTTTTATAAGATTTACTTATTTATTTAAAGGCAAATTACAGAGAGAAGGAGAGACAGAGGGAAATCTTCCATGTGCAGATTCACTCCCCAAAAGTTTTAGCAAACAAGGCTGAACCTGGACCAAGCCAGGAGCTAGGGGTTTCATCAAGATTTTTCACAGGTGTTCTTCTTTCCTAGGATAATTGCATAGAGTTGGAGTGGAAATAGAGTATCTGAATATAAACGAACACTCATAAGGGATGCTGGCTTCATAAGAAGTGGCTTAACCTGCTATGCCCCAACATGCCCCTCTCCCAAGTTTCTGTTTTTTAAATAATTACAGAACCAGCAAATGATCTTTTTATAGTAAGTTTTTCTTCAGTCTTTCAACATTTTCCTCTTTAGAATTGTTTTTTTTTTTTTTTCTGGCTCATCCTTCTTTCTTTGTACATTTAAAATCTGGTTGTACATTTTGAGTCATTGCTCTGTACTTTTTTTTTCCTAGTTCAAATAAAATATGGGTATTGTCCCTCAATTAAAACTTTTGAGTGATTTTATTACTTCCCTCTGGAAATTCTCAACAATGTGACTTCTTATAGACTTGCAATGTATAATTTAGCATCTTTGCATATCTAGTCTTTAAATTATATTTATACAGGAAGTAATTGTCAATGTAACACTAACTGAATTAGGTACGTTACAAGGGTCTTCATCAATCTCCAATGATTCATGTCATATCTCTTGTCATGTGTTCTTAAAAAAACTGTATGTGCTGATTTTTTAGGGTTTGCCAAATGAATTATTTGGGTGATGTGTGCAATTAATGCAGACTAGAAACATGGACATGTCAAATACTCAGTTGTGGAAAGAGCACTAATTTAAACCTGAGAAAGAACTTTAAGGAATGACTTCTGAATTTCAGGAAATAAATGATAATATTTTTAATTCCTGAAAACACATACAATTGGCCTGTGCCATGACTCACTTGGTTAATCCTCCTCATGTGGTCCTGGCATCCCATATGGTGCCAGGTTCTAGTCCCTGTTGCTCCTCTTCCAGTCCATCTTTCTGCTGTGCCCCGGGAAGGCAGTGAAGGATGGCCCAAGTGCTTGGGCCTCTGCACTCTCATGGGAGACCAGGAGGAAGCACCTGGCTCCTGGCTTTGGATTGGCATAGTTTGGCTGTAGTGGCCATTTGGAGGGTGAACCAACGGAAGAAAGACCTTTCTCTCTGTCTCTCTCTCACTGTCTGTAGCTCTATATCTTAAAAAAAAAAAAAAAAAAAACAAAAACAAAAAAAACACATATAAACAATTGATATTGAATTGATTGATAACACGTGACGTGAAGATGAAAGGATGGTTCATCATTTATGTTATACTACAGGACCTAAATTTCTGTTCATTCAATGTTTGCATAAAATAATAACTTTAAGGAAGGACTTCAGAATTTCAGGAAATAAATGATAATATTTCTAAAACACATATAAAATTTCTTAAAGCACATACAATTGATATTGAATTGGTAATTTGTTCAGATGAAAGGATGGTGTATCAGGTTCCCCATATTGCAGTATATATTTTTCTATACTTTCAAAATTTGCATAAGATGATTTTATGAAAAAGCTATATATGTTTTTTGTGGGAATGGCATTAGAATTTAAAGAACAATAAAGGATATAGTAACTAGAAATCTATCATGCATTTTGCATAAATGTTTAAATTTAATCTAATTATAGAAAATTGTCTAAAACAAGAGGGAAGTATATTTGTTTTTGTAGGAAAATACATACAACTATATATGCATTCACATGCTACAAATACTGCCCACAAACTTACACCATATGAAGAGACTTACTAACTTCCAGGAATATTTGAAGTTGTTGGACTTGAATTCAAATGATGATGAGTTAATTTATATTTGCCATGTGCCATTCATCTTCTCAAAATATTTCTTCACTCGATTCACTAAATCAAATCTTCAGATGAAGAGGATTTACAGCCACTTGTTAATTGTGATTCTCTGTTTCAGACATTTAAAGTACATTACATATCTTGAGTAAATTACTTTCTATTATACAAGCAGCCCATACAAATGACATTTTGTTACTGGAAATAAGTTTAAAAATTCAATATGTTCAAAAGTATAAACACGAAAATAACAAGAATGTGAAGATTAAGTTAAAAGTTATCAAACAAAGCCTTTGCCAATATATTCAAAACAAGTTAGAAAATGGAATATATACATGTGAATTTCTGCCAACAGGTCAGGTGAACTTGAAAAACAACATGTTGGCAGATGTATGTGTAATACAGTGCTTGAAGAAAGCTTCTAGAAGAACCAGAAGCAATTACTACAGAACAGGAAAAAAAGACTGAGAAAAAGCTTTGAATGACAAAGCAAAAGGAAATTTAGCAAAATGATTTGAAAAACCTCTCGTGAGTATAGTACCTGATATATGTTGTGGTGGGAAAACACCTTTACAAGGTAGACTTCAATAATCTGATCACAAGACTTGAATGTCATCCCCACAAATAGGAAACTGCTCCAACAGTTTTCACCCTGATCTGCAACAATGCAGGAAACAAACAAACAAACAAAAAAACAAACAAAAAACAAACAAACAAACAAAACAAAAAAACATGCTTGTCCAAGAGTTCTCTCTGATTTATCAGTCTTATGGACTACACTTCAATCATTTTGGATTAATTGACAATTTAATTTAGGTTTTTTGTCATAAATGGCGGAAGTATCATTTTTTAGGAAAACCCTAGCCATAGTTGGGGGACAAAAATAATTCTGTTGATGATGGTAAGGAAAACTCACGCTACAGATGTAGGCTTCTTGATCCTAGGATGTAGATTTAGAACACTGTGAAAATACAAGCTTACCTATTTGATACCAAGTCTGGTTCTGAGGTATGAACATTAAGGTAAATTCAAAGAAACAATGCTTCATGAACTTTTGGATATATCCTTAATAATAACAAAACTATGTCCCAATAGTACCACTTTTCATTAAGGTGACTTTTCAAAGACAGTGACATTTCTTTGTTGTGGTTGACCACACTCACACTGAGGGAGTATAAAAGTCTGCTTGCATTCTCAGGAAATTCACCTTCAACCTCCCACCAAATCCTCAACTCCTGACACAATGAGCCACTACTACGGCAACCACTATGGTGGCTGTGGCTATGGCCATAGAGGATTCAGTGGTCACAGCCATGGCTGTGGTTCCAGTTGTGGCCACAGAGTCTATGGTGGCTTTGGCTGTGGCCATGGTGGATTCAGTGGTCTGAGCTATGGCTGTGGTTCCAGATACGGTCACAGAGTCTATGGTGTCTGTGGCTGTGGCCATGGTGGATTCAGTGGTCACAGCCATGGCTGTGGTTCCAGATATGGCCACCGAGTCTATAGTGGCTTTGGCCATGTCTGTCCCACTTCTCATGGAAGATATTTCTCCTTTAATTTTCACTGAAAACATTGTCATCTGGGATCATCCATATTCTTGATATAGAACCCATCACCCAACTTGGGCATCCTCATGCCTGCTGTACTGTTGATATAAAGATTTCTTCTTTCTCCTTTCTGTTCTATTTCTAGTCATGTTAATTCAATAAACATTCTTTATGAGCATTTCAAACCTGTGTCATAGTTATTTTCTATGTAAATACACCTGTCAGTGCCAATTTTTTAAATATTTGATTAACTCATTTCATTTGAATGTGTGCTCTAGATGGTACTATCTATTTCCTTAGAACTAATGTTTCACACATGTAGTCAATGATGCCTTTATTTCAGGTAGTGTATACTTAGGTGTGTTTCCATTTATGATTTCACAGTCTGGAGTAGAAATTAGAAATCCCTCATTGTTGTGAAAAAAATGGGCACTGATTATCATAGTAATGTAATGGTTTTTTGTTTGTTTGTTTGTTTTTTTTTTTTTTTTTTGGAGCTCAGGATAACAGGAAATATAATCATAGACCTTGGCTGCATTTTAAGTATTGTTAGCTAATGTGATTTGTATGGAAGAGCAGTCCTTGCTGTATTTGCACACTCTTTCTCCAAGAACCTCTTATCAGTTACCTCTTTATGTATTAATGGTAAACATATATCCGGTAGACTCCATCTTCTGCTATCCTCCAGAATAGCTTCACCACCTTCAGTT